AAACAGAAGAGTCATTGCCAAACTCCTTTTATGAAGCTACAGTTACTTTAATACCAAAACCACATAAAGACACAACCAAGAAAGAGAATTACAGGCCAATCTCACTCATGAACATCGACGGGAAAATTCTCAATATAATCCTGGCAAACTGAATCCAGGAACACATTAGAAAAATTATCCATTATGATCAAGTAGGCTTCATCCCAGAGATGCAGGGCTGGTTCAACATACGCAAATCTATCAATGTAATCCATCATATAAATAAACTGAAAGAAAAAAACCATATGATCATTTCATTGGATGCTGAAAAAGCATTTGACAAAATTCAACACCCATTTATGATAAAGGTGTTGGAGAGACTGGGGATACAAGGATCATACCTAAATATAATAAAAGCAATATACAGCAAGCCGACAGCTAACATCAAATTGAATGGAGAGAAACTCAAAGCCTTTCCACTAAAATCAGGAACACGACAAGGCTGTCCACTCTCTCCATACCTCTTCAATATAGTGCTTGAAGTTCTAGCAATAGCAATAAGACAACATAAGGAGATCAAGGGGATTCGAATTGGAAAGGATGAAGTTAAACTTTCGTTATTTGCTGACGATATGATAGTGTACATAAGTGACCCCAAAAACTCTACCAAAGAACTCCTACAGCTGATAAACACCTTTAGTAACGTGGCAGGATACAAGATCAACTCCAAAAAATCAGTGGCACTCCTATACACAAAGGATAAAGAAGCTGAGAGGGAAATCAGAGAAACATCACCTTTCACAATAGCCACAAATAGCATAAAATATCTTGGGCTTACTCTAATCAAGGAAGTGAAAGACCTATTTGACAAGAACTTTAAGTCTTTGAAGAAAGAAATTGAGGAGGATATCAGAAAATGGAAAGATCTCCCTTGTTCTTGGATTGGGAGGATCAACATAGTGAAAATGGCAATTCTACCAAAAGCAATCTATAGATTCAATGCAATCCCCATCAAAATCCCATCAAACTTCTTCACAGACCTTGAGAAAACAATAATCAAGTTTATATGGCAAAACAAAAAACCCAGGATAGCCAAAACAATCTTATACAATAAAGGAACTTCAGGAGGCATTATCATCCCTGACTTCAAACTCTATTACAGAGCTACAGTATTGAAAACAGCTTGGTATTGGAATAAGAACAGAGAAATCGACCTTTGGAATCGAATAGAAGACCCGGATATTAACCCACAAACCTATGAGCACCTAATTTTTGACAAGGGAGCTAAAGGTATACAATGGAAGAGGGAAAGCATCTTTAACAAATGGTGCTGGCATAACTGGATGTCAACCTGTAGAAGGATGAAAGTAGATCCATACCTTTCACCATGCACAAAACTCAGGTCCAAATGGATTAACCTCAACATTAATCCGTCCACTTTGAACCTGATAGAAGAAAAAGTGGGAAGTAGTCTACAAGATATAGGCACAGGAGGCCTCTTCCTAAGTAGGACCCCAGCAGCACAGACAATAAGAGAAACAATGAATAAATGGGATCTACTGAAACTGAGAAGCTTTTGTAAAGCAAAGGACACTGTCAGTAAGACAAAAAGGCTGCCTTCTGACTGGGAGAAGATCTTCACCAACCCCTCATCAGACAAAGGTCTGATCTCCAAAATATACAAAGAACTCAAGAAACTAGGCACTAAAACTCTAATTAATCCAATTAAAAAATGGGGTACTGAACTGAACAGAGAATTCACAACAGATGAACTTCGAATGGCCAGAAGACACTTAAGGTCATGCTCAACCTCCTTAGCGATCAGGGAAATGCAAATCAAAACCACTTTGAGATACCATCTTACACCTGTCAGAATAGCTAAAGTAAAAAACACCAATGATAGCCTATGCTGGAGAGGATGTGGGGTGAGGGGAACACTCATCCATTGTTGGTGGGAATGCAAACTTGTGCAGCCACTGTGGAAATCAGTGTGGCGGTTTCTCAGGAAACTGGGAGTCAACCTCCCTCAGGACCCAGCAATTCCACTCTTGGGAATATACCCTAGAGATTCCCTAGCATACTACAAAAGCATTTGTTCAACTATGTTCATAGCAGCACTATTTGTAATAGCCAGAACCTGGAAACAGCCTAGGTGCCCCTCAATAGAAGAATGGTTAAAAAAGGTGTGGAACATATACACATTAGAGTTTTACTCAGCGGTAAAAAACAATGACATCTTGAATTTTGCATGCAAATGGATGGACATAGAAAACGCTTTACTGAGTGAGGTAAGCCAGACCCAAAAAGAGGAACACGGTATGTATTCACTCATAAGTGGATTCTAACCATAATTTAAAGGTCTTTGAGCCTAATATTCGTGATCCTAGAGAAGCTAAATAAGAAGACGAACCTGATGAAGATTATTTAGCTATCCGCCAGGAGGTAGGAAATAGTCAAGAGTCCCAGGTAACCTTGGGTGCATGGGGGGTGGGTGGGAGGGTTGTTGGAATGGGAGAGGGTTGGAGAGAAGGGAGTAGGGGAAGAATGGAGAAAGCTTGGTTGACAGGGATGGGGGAAGGGAGGAAGGATGAATATGGGATCAGGGAAGAATATATTTCAACTAAGGGAGTCATTTTGGGGTTTATAGGAAACTTGGTTATATATGGGATCCCAGGTCCAAGGAGAGATCCCCAGATTGTTCTCTGGACAGAGGAGAGCGTGCCTGAACCGGCCTTGGCCCATAACCATACTGATGAATATTTTGCGTATCACCATAGATCCTTCATCTGGCGATGGATGGTGATACAGACGGAAACCCACATTGGAGCACCGGACTGAGCCCCCCAAGGTCCAAATGAGGAGCAGAAGGACGGAGAAAATGACGAAGGACTGCGAGGGATGCTATCACCCACTGATACAAGGGGTCGGATCTAATGAGAGTTTACCAAGGGCAGTTGGACTGCGACTGAACGAGCACGTGATCCAACCAGATTCTCTGAATGTGGCCGGATTCTCTGAATGTGGCTGGCCCGGAGTCTTTCTGAGAAGCCATTGACAATGACACTGGGACTAGTTTCCTCTGCATATACTGGATTTTTGGGATCCAGTCTGTTTGGATACTCACCTTCCTGGACCTGGAGGGAGGGGGGACGAACTTGAACTTCCCACAGGGCTGGAAACCCTGACTGCCCTTAGGGACAAAGAGGGAGGTGGAGAGGTGGGGGGGAGTGGGAGGGTGTTGGGAAGAGGGGCGTAAATGGAAACTTTTATAATTTAATAAAATTACTTTAAAAAAAAAAGTCAACCTGAAAAAAAAAGTGTTTGCTTCTTACATATACATGAAAACTCCATGTAAACATGTAAGCCATGTAAACATGAAAGTCAGGTAACAATAGGTTGCTTGAACCCATATTCAAATATGGACTTGAGAAGCCTATCCAAAATCAGTTTTGAGTTATTCTAAAAACTTTCATTTGATTAACATAGAAAGCAGGTATTGTTTTTTTGTATACACAATTATGAGAATAAAATATTGCTAATTATGTAAAAAATTTAAGATTGTGATGTAGGCTAAATATAAATCTCAGAATTTGTTAATACCTAAGGGATTTATTTTTAAAATTTTGTGGGGTCTGTATGCATGTGTATAGTGTGTAAATATAAAGTCAAAGGGCAGCCGTCCTCTATTGTATTCGGGCTGGGTTGGCTAGTCAATGAGCCCACAACACTCCTCTCTTAATCCTTAATTGATCTCTTGTAATAACAACTTCCTACCCTTTGTCTACATCAGTAAAATTTGGGCATGAGATGGAGTAAAACATGCATGCATGAGCTACGCTTTGGCACAGTTGAATTATTTCAATACATTCACACTCGGGAGACCCAGTTCAGTTTTAGTTTCAGTTCAGTTTTACTTAATGGCACATAGAAACACACACAAGCTTCAAGTTTGCCTTTTAAGAAATATCACTTTTGGCTCTCACTAGATTATAGATGAAATATATGAACTAAGAAGTCTTTATTTCAAAATGACAAAATATTGTACAGCCTCAACAGTGTCAAACTTTACAGAAAAACTAAACTAAGGTGCCAGCAAGAGACTTCAGTGATGGGGAAGTGACTAAACAGAGTATATGAAACTACATATCATCTTTAGACACAGTAAAGCTGAAATCTAGGCAGTACAAACTATAGCTCAGGGTAGTTGCTGAAATACTAATCTCTCACAGAACCGTTTTAGTTCCATCTTCAACAATATATTCACTTAGTTTATCACACTCTATACTAAAACCTACAAACATGTTTAAGATCTGCATTCTTCTGTGGCTGAGTGCAAGTGTGGGGAACTTTGGGACAGGTCTTCAAATGAACTTGAGATTCAAAGATACAGGTAGGTTGGCTGTTCCATGAGCGTAAGGGTTCTACTGTTCTGTTCACCATGCCTCTTGCAGCTGTGCTTAAAGACAGCTTTCAAGTGGATTCTGGGTAATCGTAACACCCTCGATGTCGCATTCTAGGCACCAGTCCCTGATCTTATACCAGCCCACACAGTTTTTGCTTGATCACAAGGAAGCAATTTTGATTCTTATATTAAAATTTAAGAAGAGGAAGAGCCTTGTGCTAACATTATATTTGGCCTGGATTTGGGGTCACTCATCATGGTTCTGTGCGAAGCCCACATTTCTTCTGTTGTGTACTCTAATGCAAACTTCAGGATATCACCCCAGCCCAGCTTCAGAGTGACCATTATATGGAAACAACAGAAGCTTGTCCTGAAAACAAATCCGGGGTTTTGACCAAATACCTACATTCTGGAATACCTGAATGTATTCTGAGGAATACCTGCAAACTGTCTGTTAAATTGTATCTAGGGAAATACATTTTCATTTCCTAATGTCAACTTAAAATTTTTCAATTAAGTTTTTTCAGTGAAAACCATACTAAACATAAGCCTATGTGAAATACTGGTAAGCAACTGCTTATCCCTGTCACATTCCTTATTTCAGAGAGGAGGCATTAAATATTTATGTCACATATTTATTTACAATTTTATTTAGTAATAAGAGTTCAAGAGTTTAATCCAATTTTCAGATCAATCTCCTAAACAATCTTCATTCTGAAAAATAAAAACAAAATTAATGGTATTAGAAATCCATCTGACTAGACTTATCTAGTTTCTTATCTTCTACCAATTTGATACATCAGAAAGCGTTTACAGTATCATGAATTTTTCATACTGATTTGCTTCATCACATGTACCAAAACATTGCATAAATAAACCCTTATGCATAGATGCAATATCTATGGAGATGTAGTAACATTTTTCCTTAATACAGCATTTCTCAACTTCAGCAGGTTAATTTACTAATACCATAGCAGATATCTTAGATCGAGAGAAAACAAACACCAGAGTATTTTCTTTCTTGGGGGTTTCATAGAACGTATTATATACCTAGGTGTTAAGACTGGAAAAAGTAGCCTGGCGGTGGTGGCACATACCTGGAGGACGTACATGCAGGTGTAGTTCTGAGTTCGAAATCAGAGTGGTCTACAGACTTGAGTTCCAGGACAGACAGGGCTACACAGAGAAACCATCTCATTTCTTATTATCCCTTGCGCCCAAAAGGAACCTAAAGATTTTTGCAGGCTTGCAGCTTACAGGCCATATGTAGTCCAGGATAGGAATAAACCAGTGGATCTCAACCTTCCTAATGCTGCAACCCTTTAATACATACCTCATGCTATGGTGACCCCAACCACAAAATTATTTTCATTGCCACTTCATAACTGTAATTTTGCTACATTCCCGAATCATAATGTAAATGTCTGTATTTTCGGATGGTCTTAGATGACCCCCTTGAAAGGGTTGTTTGACCCCAAAAGTGGTCACAACCCACAGGCTGAGAATAGCTGATATAAATGCAGCTCAACAACACCAAAAAAATCTAAGCTCATTCAGTCTGAGTTTTGTTTTGTGCAGTTTAGGAACCTGATTGTGGGGTTCTTCCCTGTGAACTTTGTAGATGATACCGTTTTTTAAATGCTAAAGGTTGGATGCCCCTAGTGTATTTTTATTTCATAAGAGTCATTTGCTTCAGTAAAAGACACAAGACTGATTTACAAAGAGTGAAATATAGAGCAAGATTACCCTGTGTGGAAATCTTATACAATGTTACTAGCTATGGAATCTCAGTAACTTATCTTTGTGTCTTCAGTGGAGTTTTAATATCACTCATTTTACAAGTTTGTAGAATAATGTGTTCAGACTATCAATGTAAACAGACCTTTATTGATCACAACAGTATTTCCTTACAGGCTTGCCAACCTGCCTGTACCAAAATCACATTACCTTCAGTAATCAGCACACATCTATTTACTGTGTCATGGGTACATGTACATGTATAGGGTATACCACAGTATACTACTGCTGAAGGGAAATTGGAAGCCTACTATTACCTGTTAAATGGATGAATTAAATATTCTCATTTCTTAAGAAGCTGGTGCCTCACTATGAAGAAAGGAGCAGCAAATCCGGACCCAAAGTACACAGTCATCATTGCCAGTAAGCGCCACTTGTTTTCCACCGAAAACGGCAAATTCTGTTGGGAAAAGAGAAAAAGCCTTGAAACAGTCCTTCAAAGAATTTGATTTCATCCAATAAAAGAGGCGGGGGGGGATCATATGTACACACGTGTACAGTACAATCAGGTGCATTAGTCAGAACATGAAATAAACACCTGTGTTTTCTGAATACCAGTCGGTAAGTGTAAGAAACAAGTTAACTCTTGTATTTTTGATAACTGAAAAAAATTACAGTGCATAGTAGCCAGTTTAGAAACAAAAACACCACTCTCGTTCACTGTTCTTAGAAATTCCCCACCGATTATCAACCGCAGTACAAAGGTTGCCTTTTTCACAGGTAGCCATACCCGTACATCCTTCCACATTCTCGCCTAACAGTAGCGCGGCTGTTACTATTAATTACTCGGTTTACTTACACCTAGAGCTACACCTGCCCTCAAGCGAGGCTTGTCCTTCTAACGGATTCTGCTGGTTTCAATGGCTAATCCGCAGCCACGGGCCCCCTTCTCCTTTGTTCCCAATGACCTTCACCCGACGCCCGACCTCACTAACAAGGCGCCCTGGAGTCGTCCGGGCCTCGCGGCTCTGCAGCGGATGTGGCTGGCAGGATGAGGCCGCGGTTCGGTCCAGGGACCCCAGCTTCCTCGGGGAGGTGGGCTGAGGGCCTGCGGGCTTCCGAGCGCCGGACCTGCCTGCCATTGCCCTTCCCACACTCTCCAGGCCCAGCCTGCGGTAACCAGGAGGCGCCGGGCCTCCCTTGCCCTACGCTGCCGGGCCACACTCACCTTCCCCGGACCCTCCTCGTAGTGGCTGCGACGGACCACGGAGGTGGTGAACCTCCGGACACTCTGGCCCAACATGGCGCGGCGGGAAGCTCAGCGAGGAGCGTAGGGGTGGAAGGCGGAATAAATGACCGCACCACCACACTCCTCTTCCTTCACGACCTTGCTCTACCTCTCCGAAGACCGAAAGGGAAGACGGGAACTATCGCAGGAACTTCCGGAAACGCAATGCACGGCTGAGCTCTGAGGATTGTGGGCTTTGTAGTTCAGATTATACCGGACGCCATATCGGCTCCGCTGGATTACGGGAAATGTAGTTTGAGTCTCGGATGCGCGAGCGCGCCCAGGAACCAAAGTCAGGTCCTCAACTATTTTCTGAATTCAGATGTGGGATTCTTGGGGTTTGTTTCCAGAAGCAATTTATTGAGATAACTGAAGCTGTTTAACCGTGTGGGTCTAAGGTTATGGAACAATAAAATAAACTTCTCCTCTGAGTTCTTCACACGTTTTTTATTGTACTGTTTTGCCACCACTGAAAGATGGGCAGCGTGGTCCTATCAGAGGATAAACAAGCAAGTGTACAAATGGCGTGTAGCACAAAGAATGTCATGTATAAAACTGAATTGAAGTGCTGAGATGGATTTATGAAGATATAGAAATTAGATATAAAAGAACACACAGAGCACAAATAAAACTCCTAGATGCAGCTTGAGTAGGTTATGGAAGAGATAAATACCGTCTGATATCTGCAACTAGCCTGGATTAGAAATTGGTGTATTAGAAATTGGTTCCACTGAACATAAAATTTTGTGGAGCATCAGCATTAGACAAAGCCATTAGACAATGATAGATGTTTGAAAATGGAGGTGTGGGCACTATATATATTTCTAAATACACAAGTATAAGTTTCTCAGTCTGTATAATGTTATTTATATATGTAACAACAGAAAGTGAAAAAAAAAGAAGTAATGAATTTGAAAGAGTTGAAGGCAGGATACATAATAGGGGTTGGAAGGAGAGAAAGGAAGAGGAAAATGATGTAATTATACTATAATCTCAAAAAGATACACTATAAAAGTGCACTGTATGTCCTTGTTAAACTAGGTCTAACCTAAATATATTTTGTATTTGATGATAAAATTTGGCTGAAAGTACCCTGTGTACATAGTGAACTATATCATAAGGTGTGTGTGTAAAAATACTGCATTCAAGCAATGAAGTCTCAGCCAGTAACAGGAGTTAAGCAAACCTTAGGGTCAAATTTTGTCATCTAGCACTCTGTCAGTCAGTCTTTAACTCTCTATCATCTATCTATCTATCTATCTATCTATCTATCTATCTATCTATCTATCTATCTATCTATCTATGTATCTACCATCTATGTGTCTGTCATCTACATATCTATGGATCTATCTGATAAACATAGCTGCAAGTTCTGTCAAGAGGTGGAAGCTATCCTTGTGTAATCTGGATGGACTCCTTCTGAGTATTGTCACTAAAAGGACATGGGAAAAGTATCATTGTACCATTGTCTTGCCCATATAACACACACACACACACACACACACACACACACACACGAGAGAGAGAGAGAGAAAGAGAGAGAGAGAGAGATTCCTTTTCTACTATTTGCACCCGTGCTCATGTGTCAGTGACATATGCTGACCAAACCCAATTCATTGCTTCAGTATGTGGTATGCCACTTCATTTTCTCTGATAATGCACATAACAGGAACCTCTGGAAGAGGGAGTCATTCTGAATTTCTTTTAGTCAGAAATGCTCCTAATTCTATGACATTTTTATAAGTAACCTTTGTTAAATTTAATTGATTTTAGTTTTCACAAAATTACCAAATATCACACCATCTGTTTAATATAATTTTTATATACATCTATGTGTCCATCTATATATAGTATGTATATCTTTATATCTGTATAACTATATCAATCATCTATCTATCTGTCTAAAACAGAACTGTTTAATTTAATTTTTCTATATCTTACTTGTTGCAACCTTAATGTTGGTCTATATCTATCTATAATTTCTATCTCTCTATCATCTATCTATCTATCTAAAACAGAACTATTTAATTTAATTGTTCTATGACTTTCTCTTTACAACCTTAATTTTGGTTTAGTATTTTTTTTCCAGAGTAAGAGTTGAAGAGATATGCCAGTCAATCAACAACAAGTCTGTGGTAGTTTGAAAGAAAATGGCCCCAAGGGAATGGTACTAAAAGGAGTGTTACTATTAGGAGGTGTGGCCTTGTAGAGTAAGTGTGGTCTTGTTGGAGGAAGTATGTTACTGCAAAGGCAGGTTTTATGGTTTCATATTTGCTCAAGATATGGTCCAGTGTCTCAGACCATTTCCTGTTGCCTGCAAGATACAGGAATCTCAACCACTTCAGAACTGTAAGTAAACCACCCAAACTAAATGTTTTCCTTTATTAAGAGTTGTTGTGGTCATGGTGCCTATTTCACAGCAATAGAATCCCTAAGAGAAAGCTCAAATCTTCTGAGCACCTTCTAACATTTTACTGAGAGCTATGGGGAAGCACCATTTCTCATGACATTTATGTCTATTCCCGCAGTGAATAATAAATGCAATAGATTCTGTATAGGTGTGTGCATAATAACTGTGAGTAGAGACCATTTGGAAGAAGCAAGTGATAAAGGAGCCTGGGCAGATGAAATTAAGCTATTTGTAAAGGCTTGTTTTCACCTGAAAGTCATGTTATTCATCTACTAAAGAGTTTATAATTCCTTGAATGGACAGTTTTTACAACAGTAAGCAGCCCAAAAGAGTCCTAAGATTTTTTTGAAAGCTAGATGTATAATTTTTAGATTTTTGTATTTTATAGTCTTTCAAAGAGGAAAAAAATGCTTTCTCCTTCAGAGGTTTCTATGTTTTATTTCTACAAATGGTAACAATAGGCAGCTACGACAATCAGTATCTTTCTCATTTAAAAGGTATATGACCTTAATTTTTAAAATATTTTTGGGACAGTGTCTTATTGTATAGCCTATGCCAGTTTTAAAATCACTGTGTAGCTCAGGCTTTCTTTGACTTTAAGAAATCCTTTATGCTTAGCCACTCAATGTGTTCCAACAACATTTGTGAGGCAATAAGACCTCTACTTTTCAACTTAATAATTATTTATTTCATGTGTAAATGTGTGCCTATGTGTAAGTATGTGCACCATGTAGGTAGTCTGATTCTCATGAAGGTTAGAAGATGGTATTGGATTCCCTGAGTCTTTACTTCTTCAAGAGTAGAAAGCACTCTTAACTATTAGGCCTTCTCTTCAGACCCCTCTTCATATTTAAGAGTTTCACTCTGAACTTTTTTACATTAAAAAATTTGTAAGAATATTTTTATTTATTCTGTAAGCATTCTATACATGAACTGATGTATTTTGATGATATATATTCACTTTATCTTCCATACTATTCTGTTTGGATTTCCACCAACATGTTCTCTTCCCAACTTCATGTACTCCCACCAAGTACATTTCATGTTGCCCATAAGGACATGATAAATAAGTTTATAATAATCCATTTGAGCAGGGAAATCTAACAGTGTCCACATGCTTAAGGCAAATTGACTCCTCTTCCCCTAGTAGCCAGCAATTGTCGATTTCTCTTCAATTGGGAATGATCAGACTATCACGCCCATGCTGTAATTTTTGACAAGTTTAAATCTTTTTCAGGTCTTGTGAAAACAAACATATCCGCTGTGAATATGTAAGTGCAATGAGCCTGTTATGCCCAGAAGATGGCATTTCAATGCCCTCCTCCTCAACCTCTCACACTTACACTCTTTCCAACTCTTCTTCCTTCGTGTTCCCTGAGGCATGGAGGAGAAGTTGGTATAGACGGTCCATTTAGGTCTGAGGACTCACAGCTTTCTTTATTGCCTTTTGGAACAATGAGCTCTCAGGAGAGAAGTTTCCTCTACTCAAAGGCCTCTGAGAAAGTTTCCTAGATTCCACCAAAGAGGAGAGTATTCAAGAACTAAGCATGTGAATGACATCATCATGTCCACAGAGCCCAGTTACACCATAAACTTGAATATCACTACCTGACTGTATTCAGTGCTATGTCGAGCTGCCCAGTAGAACCTTTCTGAAAATGTTTAGGTATAAATTTGTAATCTATAATTATATAGTGTTTCTTGCAAGCAATTAACATTAATGGAGATGGTTATAAGTCAAAAAATTAGTCACCTACTTTTTGGGGTTAGCTGCTTGTTTGTCCCAGCTGCCCAGAACCGAAATAACCACACAGATACTGTATTAATTAGATCAGTGCTTGGCACATTAGCTCTAACTTCTTATTGGCTAACTCTTATATTAATTTAGCCTATTTCTATTAATCTGTATATCACCACGAGATCACGGCTTACCAGCAAAGTTTCAGCATGTCTATCTCTGGTGGTATCTCCATAGCATCTCTCTAACTCCACCTTCCTCCTCCCATGCTCTAGGCCAAGCCAGTTCTTTATTCATTAACCAATAAAAGCAACACATAGACAGAAGGACCTCCCACACAACCTACCCTAACAATTTCTTTATTTAAAGAAATTAGCTTTTTTACAAGCTTCCATTAGGACATCCTTTCTCATCATATGTCTGGATGGCAGCTTGGTTGTATCATTTAAAATGTTTTTCCTAGCTTAATGCCAATCTGTTTCCCTTGTACTGCAGTGATGATTCTCCAGTTCTTAAGCTGGGCTGTTCCTACAATGGAACACAAACCCCTGCTGTTTGGCTGTCTTTCAACAGCTTTGACATTGGAGAGCACTAGACATGTTCAGAAATGCATGCTTTAGCTTTCTGATGCTCTCAGTGAGTTGAGGGAAAATGGAGTGTCAATAAAAGTGGCCAAGATCACATAATGTTAAAACGATTTTTGACCTTCTGTTTATGGCTACTATTGCCCTTAGAGTACCCTCATGACAACTGTATCAAAACACTTGGTTAAAAAAATGCTATTCTTTTCATTTTCTCTTTCTTTTTCTTTTCTTCTTTTCTTTTTGTATGTGTGTATCTCTCTGTGTGTATGTGTATATGTGCTTATCTGTATGTGTGTACTATTGCTTCTGTATATGTGTGTGGCATAGAAGTGCCACAGCAGCCACAGCATACATGTACATAACAGAGGACAACCTTTGGGATCAGTTCTTGCATTTAGACCTTGATTTGAGAAAGTATTTTTTTCTCTCCTGTGTAAGCCAGACCAATTGTCCTTTGAGCTCTTTAGAT